GAATTCAATCGGTCTCCTGGTGAGAATTAAGGAAACGGGGCTGATCCCAGTTTTGATGGGAACGGACATGAGGAACAAAATCTCTGGCTCGGCTAGCAGAGGAAATCCAAGGGTTTGTACGGCCTGACCTTCCTTCCCGCTTATTTTAAGCAAACCCAGAGTCTTTCTCAGAGTAGAAGACAGCCCAGCAGAAAACAAGGGGGCAGCCACAAGCTGTGGCACCCAAACAAGTAACAGAACATGAGAACCCTTTATCAGCGATTCCACGCGGGGCGAGAAGGAGGCGGCGGAGAGGGACTAAGAACCGGAGGAGGAGGAGAAAGGAAACCAGCACTAAGAATAGGCCAGACTGCGGCTCCCACTCAGCTCTTTGTTTTCGAGACAGATGGGGAGGGGAGGAATCTGCCTCAGGAGGTGCAGCTGAAGAAAAAGGACCCATTTCCCCACCACGTTCCTGGAGATGCTCAGCCCCCTTTGTCCTGGATGGGCGGAGTGGCCAGCAGGATGGCCTCGGCCTGAAGCCCGGTCACAAAGCAGCGGTCCCGGGCCCAGAGCTCCAGCTGCGCGGCACCTCCCACACACACCGCCCAGCTCGGCTCCTCTCTGAAGCCTCCCTGCTGTCACGGTTTTCCTGGGCGGGGGGGGGGGGAGAGAGACAACGGGGATGACTAATAATAAGCCTGATGGGATCACAGAGCTGTGGGATAGGAGCAGTTCCTGGTTTCCAGAGGACTCACTGCTTTTCCAAAGTGGGGGCTCTGTGGCCAGCAGCCCCGCCTGCTGTGCTGTCCCGGAGGCACCTGATACCCAGACACCGCTAGTCAGGCACACCAAGATGTTCGGCACCAGACTGGCTCACAAGACCTTTCCTTCAGCTTATAAAGTACTGGCTGGAGTTGTGTATTTAAAACAATTCTTCTTCATTGAGAGAGGAAGGAGGGAGGGAGAGAAGGAGGAGGAGGAAGGAGGGAGAGAGGGAAAGAGAGTGATTGATATGAGAAACATCTATCAGTTGCCTCCAGCACCTACCCTGACCAGGCAATTGACCCTGCAAGCTAGGTATGTGCCCTGACTGGGAACTGAACCTGCCACCTCCTGCTTCACAAGATGATGCTTCAACCAACTGAGCCACACCCGCTGGGCTAAACTGTATATATTTTTTATTTGATTTTAGAGACAGAGGAAGAGAGAGGGAGGGAGATTGAAACATTAATTGGTTGCCTCCAGTTCATGCCGACAGGGGATTAAACTGTCAACCCAGCTTTGTGCCCTGACTAGGAATCAACATAGGACAACACTCAAGCAACGGAGCCATACTGGCCAGGGCTGCACTGGGTCTTAAAGATACTTGGATTAATAGCCCAATCTTTAAAACTGGGAGAGCTCACATTAAAATACAGACCCCCGGCTCTCTGGAGAATCTGCAGCCATGGTAACGGAATAGAATCTCATCTGGCAGCAAGCTGTGGGCGCTGAGTGGGAGCAGCCCACAGCTCTCCTGTGCCGCAGGCCTACCGCACCTACCGTCTCCTGGACCTGCCTTCTGTGTTCACCAGCCACTCATGCTCCTTCTCCCCGTGGGAACGGTGTGACCCCGGCTGCATGCAGGTGTATTTTATGCGTAAATCTTGCCATGCTTCCCCCACCCTCCACGCTTTAAAACACAGATACACAGCATTGCTTTTCATAGCCGTACACTACATAATGTGAGCATCCGACTGCCACCACTGCTACCTACATGAGGGAGAAATGAACCTTTACCTTGTAGAAGCCACTGCTATTTTTGGGTTTTCCGATATTCACAGACAAAATGATCCTTACTTACTAGTAAAATAAGGATTTTTATTGATTTCTAATATAATACAATAAAATAAAATAAAATAAAATAAAATTAAAATAAAATAAAGCCCTGGCTGGTTTGGTGCAGTGGATGGAGCATCGGCCTTCAGACTGAAGGGTCCCAGGTTCGATTCCGGTCAAGGGCATGTATCTTGGTTGCAGTCACATCCTCAGTAGTGGGTGTGTGGGAGGCAGCTGATCAATGTTTCTCTCTTATTGATGTTTCTAGCTCTCTATCCCTCTCCGTAAAAAATCCTACTGGGGATGTGCCCGCAACCAAGGTACATGCCCTTGACCGGAATCGAACCCGGGACCCCTCAGTCTGCAGGCCGACGTCCTATCCACTGAGCCAAACCTGTTTTGGCCAATAAAATATATTAATATATATATATATATATATATATATATACACACACATGTATATTTTAATCACTGATTTCATAGAGGAAAGGAGAGGGAGAAAGAGCGAGAAACATGAGCGAAGAGGAGGGTCACTGACTGGCCACCTGCTGCACACCCCACACTGGAAGAAGCTCACAGCCCAGGCCTGTGCCCGACAGGAACCAAACAAGACCTCCTAGTTCATAGGTCAATGCTCAACCCAGCTGGGCTTTACCGATTTCTTATTGAGTCACATTACTCTTCAGATATTAACGTATTAAATTATCTCTATCACATATGTCACAATTCCCCCTTGTTTCTCAATCCACAGGGTAGCCAGTGTGACCTTGAAGACTTAAGTCACTCTCCTGTAAGTCGGGCAGCAGCACCCACCACACTCGGTGAGACCCACCCACAGCCTGGTCCTTCGCCCACACCTGCAGGCCACACTGGCCGGTTGGTCCCCTAACCGCTGGATCCGGTTATTTCCTTGGCCGCTTGCTGCTCTCCTCCTCCCCACACCGGTCTCCCGGGCACTCTGAGGGGGCCGCCTCCTCGGACGCCTGTCCTTCCCTACCACACTGCTCTTATTCCTACACAGCACCCGCTGCAGGAAGGACTGTTTTAGACTGAACTTCATGAGGACGAGGCTTTTCTGTCAAACTAGTCCTGGCAACACCGAATAGTTAAGAACAAATCTATCATTCTCCTGGTGAATTGCAACGGCACTTTTTCACATTAAGTTCTCATAGGTCTATTTCTGGTGTCTATTTTGTTCATTTGATCTAGCTGCCTCTTCTTTTATCAGCCTGTAAGGTGGTGGGGGTTTTTTTGTTTGTTTTTTTAAGTATATTTTTATTGATTTCAGAGAGGGTGAGGGAGAGATAGAAACACCAATGAGGAGAGATTGGCTGCCTCCTTCACGTTCCCTACTGGGGATTGAGCCCGCAACCCGGGCATGTGCCTTTGACCAGAATTGAACCAGAGATTCCCTTCAGTTCACAGGCCAACGCTCTACTGAGCCAAACCAAACAGGGAAGCCTAAATGGTTTTAATTAGTTTAGCTTAATAGTAAAAATTAGTCTTATTTTCAAAATGATAGGTAATTTTTCAAGGGAAAATCCTACGAATTTAAGAGGGAACTGCAGGGTTACTTTGGAGAGAACTAATCTCTGTGCTACCCAGCCTCCTCTTCGAGGGACAAGATGCTTCTCCATCATCCAGGCCATCGCACTGTCTCAGGGGGAAGCTGAGGAGCCTGGGGTCACTGGGCACCCCCATGGGCTTTGGTGCCCTTCCTCAAGGCTGTTCATTCGCCAGCCGGCCGGTCCTCACTGTCAGGCTGAATCACTTTGTGGTAGCACCAGCCTTCTCACATGCCACATGGCTGTCCTTATAGATCAACTTACAAAGGACTGTGATAGTTTTGAATTTAAAACTATTTTAAGAAGAACTGATACGTTTTTAATATAAAACTATTTAAGAACAGAGCACATTTGTCCATATGTTCAAATCTCTTTCTTGTCTTTTGATATGGTTTTCTTCACATTTCTAACTACAGTTCATCTCTAGAGTATTGTATGATTTATATTGCTACTGAGTGGCATTCTGTGTATTTATTTTGTATCTAGCCATCTACTGCTTCTAATAGCCTTCAAGTTGGTTATTTCGTCTTTTTTTTAGGTCTAACATGGTAGAGCTGCTTTTTTTCTTTACAAATCTAAGTGCTTACAACAGAGTCTGACACACATGGGTGCCCAATAAACATTAGCAATTATCTTCTCCAATATCTGCAACTTTTATTTTATTCTCTTAGCTAACTGTACTGACTAGCAGTTCCAGAATAAATTAGTGGTGATAGTCTTACATTTGACTTTTTGGGAACGTGTCCATGTATTTCATTATTAAATACATGCTAATTACTGCTTTGAACTATGGACTTTAAAAATATAATATTAAGTAAAGCATCCTTCTAACACTACTTTTTAAAGGTTAAAATCAAGACTGGCTATCTGATTTTAATTCAATGTCTTTACCATCTAAAGCTATTATATGGTGACTTATATTAAGAGGTCATAATATTGAACCAGTTTGCATTTCTGGAACAATCTCACTTGGTCATGGTTTTTATTTGCCGGAATTTTATTTAGAGAATTGAAAACCTATAATAGTCATAAGTAAAACTGATCTGTAGTTTTTTTTTTTTTTGGGGGGGGAGAAGTTATCTCTGTCCCAAGTTGGTATCAGCATTATTCAGATATTACATAAAATTTTCCTTTGCGCCAGGACCGGTTTGGCTCAATGGATAGAGCGTCGGCTTGGGGACTGAAAGGTCCCAGGTTCGATTCCAGTCAAGGGCATGTACCTTGGTTGCGGGCATATCCCCGGTGGGGGGTGTGCAAGAGGCAGCTGATCGATGACTCTCTCTCATCGATGTTTCTGACTCTCTATCTCTCTCCCTTCCTCTCTGTACAAAATCAATAAAATATATTAAAAAAAAAAAAAAAATTTTCCTTTGCTATGTTCTGAAACATTTCAGATGGCATAAAGAATTTTATTCTCTAAAGGTTTGAAAGAATTTGCTCAGAACTGTTTGGGCATGCTGCCTTCTGAGAAGGAGCTGTGTTATCACTCACTCAGTTTCCCCCCGGTTATTGGTCTGCGTAGTTCCTATCTTCTCACAGGTCCCAGTATGTCATGGTGCATCCCACACCTTCCTCCCTGTATCCTCTCACTGCCATTCCCCCTGCAGGGCAACGGGCAGCCGTGCAGTCACTTACAGTGGGATCGGTCCAGAGAGAACATCTCGAGCACTCCTGGCAGGGGGCTCCCGGCGAGCGGGGATGCTGGCAGAAGTGGTCGTACCCACTGATGGGCGCTCGACAGAGGTAGCACATCTGGGCCCCGCAGCGGCAGGACATGCGGTTGCAGCCTTCGGACTTGATGAGGCCCGTCCCACACTTGTGGCATTTCCTGATGCGGGCAGCGGTCATCTTCTCCTCACTGGAAAAAGAACGCAAGATTGGAGACACCAGCGAAGACGAGGAGAAAGAAAAACATGGCTGTTCCGCATGCCTGCCCAGCCCTTTTGGTGACATTCAAGAGAGAAGAGCCCACGTTTTGGACCGGAGAACTGGGTTCTGTTGATCAGTTGTTGACCTTCAGGAAGTTACTCACTGACTGGAGACTCAGTTTCCTCATTTTTAAATTGGGAAAACACAACTTTCTCAGTTTTGAGGATTGTAGGGAAATACAAAGTCCCCTAGCCCGGTGCCTGGCACAAAGCACTTAGAAAACAACCATCTATTTGTTATAGGCGTCTCTGTAGTCTTAAAACGGAGAGAGAAACTCAGGGTTTTCTGGAATGATGTGTTTTATACATACAAAGCCGGGTAATGGAAGCCAGTATGGAAGCCTAAATCTTACATTCACACCTTGGATTTTTACATATCTGGCATGGGGTGGGATGGACACGGGTGGGGGTAATCCCACAGCCAATGGGATTGGCTGAGGGGATGGGCGCACATGTGACTCGTGGGATGCCTGTAGGGCTGCATGTTTTCAGAAGCATGTCCGCTGATGTGGAAGGGCAGGAGACGAGGATCAAAATGACAGGTCTTGGCTCTTTGTCACGAGCTGCCACTGCTGAACCACGCTTCTTCCAGGACGCTGTTCCTGACACTTGCTACCTTGGCCGATAATTCTGTGTGTGTGTGTCTTCCCTACGAGGCTGAGTTCCTTGAAAGGAGAGAGCAGAGGCCGGGCTGGCATTACCCGTGTGGTCTTGACAGGAAGTTACTTACTGAGACTAGGGAAAAGCATGAAGAACCCAAAAAGTGTCAGCCCTGCAGCTGGGACTCACCCTACTGCTCCACACCGTAATGACTAAGCACCGGGGAGGAGTTCGGACCTGCGCCTCCCTCCTAAGGCTGAGGAAACACAGCCTTCGTCCCCACCTCTCCAGGGCGGGCCAGGGTTTTGCATTACTGGCATTTAAGATTGCTGCGGTAGTATGCTCCTAGAAGCCAGACCGTTCTTTAAAGATAGAAAAGTGCATTAGGAGACTGGCTGCTGTTCATTTAGGTCTGATTTTTGAATGACCCAAAATGAAGGAAGTCAGAACTCTGGCTTGAAAATAATTTAAACCCAGTTCAAGTTACAGAACAGATGAGTTCTAAGTTTTGCTGAATAGAAAACACTGTCAAGACGACAATGTTTAAATGCAGTGCATTATTATTGTCAACTAAATAATATAACACACATGCTCATTATTTCTGTTACTGAGCAACTGTGAGGAGACCTGTCAATGCTTCATGTTCAGACTTACAAGGTTCTAGTGAGAAAACTCCCCATTTGCAATGCTGTCACCAAAATATAATTGCCGCCGAAACCGGTTTGGCTCAGTGGTAGAGCGTCAGTCTGCGGACTGAGGGGTCCCGGGTTCGATTCCACTCAGGGGCATGTGCGTTGGTTGCGGGCACATCCCCAGTGGGGGGTGTGCAAGAGGCAGCTGGTCGACGTTTCTCTCTCATCGACGTTTCTAGCTCTCTATCTCTCTTCCTTCCTCTCTGTAAAAAATATATTTAAAGACAAACAAACAAAAAACCCCCCCACAATTGCCATTTCCTAAAGCACAGCCTCTCTGTGTCAGAGCGCCTCGCAGATGGAGGGGTGGCTCTCACCACCGCACTCTGGTCGCCTGGGCTGACGACTGTAGCTGCGGTGTGCGAGAGAAGTGGCTGAGAAGAACCCGGTTACACAGTTCTTCCTGAGGTTTGGAAAGAGGGTGCGGTGCGTTTGCTTACTGTTTCGCCATAGTCAGCCCCAATGTGAAACAATAGCGGGTGTGGTGAGGCGAAAAGGCACTCCCAAATGGACAAGAAATACGTACATGAATGCAACGCAACACTGCACGGACATCCATTCGAGTCCTTTGCTTTTGTAGAAGAACAGTAGTAGGCAGGGCCAAAATGGCCTGGTACCAAAAAGGACTGCTATTGCGGGACTGTGACCACCTGCCCAGCATATGAAAATGCAACTGGAACTGGGGTAAATCTGTGGATTCTTCTGGGAGGGAAGGTGATTTGGCAACTCGATTCTAAACGAGGCAGGAAGCAGCCCCACAGGATGCGCTGCTATTCAGAACAGGAAGAGAGGACCGAGTTGCAGCTGTTCGCTGACCTCATGCTCCAACAGGAAGGCTCGCTCCCTCTCCCCGCAGAGAGCCTGCGGTTCCAGGCTCTTTCCTCGCCACTACTGAGGCACCTGGGAGCTCCCCTGCGGGCGGGCACGCTGTTTCTTGGGCACATACTATTCGAATCTTAAATGGCTTTCCTTTGTGTACTTTTTTTTCTTCATTTAAATTCTTTATTGTTGAAAGTATTACATCTTTTTATCCCATTGACCTTTCCCTGCCCACTCAGGCCCCCAGCACATGCCTCACCCCCTAGTGTCCGTGTCCATTGCTTATGCTCAAATGCATGCATACAGGTGCTTTGGTGGTCTCTTACTCTCCCTGCTCCACGCAACATCTCCTGCCTTCCCTTTGAGGTTTGATGTCTGTTCGCTGCTTCTATGTCTCGGCAACTATTTTTGTTTATCAGTTTATGTTGATCATTATATTCCACAAATGAGTGAGATCATGAGATATTTATCTTTCTCTGACTGGCTTATTTCGCTTAGCATAATGCTCTCCAGGTCCATCCCTGCTGTTGCAAATGGTCAGAGTTCTTTCTTGTTTACAGCAGCGGAGTACTCCATTGGGTAGATGTACCACAGTTTTCTAATCCACTCATCTGCTGATGGGCACTTAGGCTGTTTCCAAATCTTAGCGATTGTAAAGTGTGCTGCTATGAACATAAGGGTGCATATATCCTTTCTGACTGGTGTTCCTATTTTTTATTTACAAAAAAGTGTACTGTTTTAACCATTTAAAGTGCACAATTCAGGAGCATGTAGTATATTCCATAAGTTGTGCAACAATCCATAAACATCCCCTTTCCCTGCAATGGCTCATCTGCTTTCTGTCTCTAACGGATGTGTCCACTTTGTACACAGGCAACTATCCATGTCTACGGACATTTCATAGAGATGGAATCACAGAAGATATGACTGACTTCTTTCACTTAGTGTGTTTTCAAGATGCAGCCATGCCGCACCGAAGGGTAGCAGGTTTGATGCCCGGTCAAGGATGCGTACTGGGTTGCAGGCTCGCTCCCTGCCCTGTTCAGGGTGCATGCAGGAGGCAACCAGTCGATGTCTCTCTCCATCTGTGGGCCTGAGGAACTAAAGGAACATGTTACTGCTCCTAAAGGACAGCAGGACAGGAATAGGGTAATATTACAGATATTCTGGTTCAAAGGGAGAAAACGGAGGAAAAAGCAGTCACTATCCAGTCTATTTGGAAATCCAGCGGGCAGACTCCTATTTCAGATCGAAAATCCTCCTCTGTGGTTTGAGGCTGTGCTCTTGGCTCGGGGCTCCACTTTCCGAGCAGCCCTTTGAAATAAAGGTAGCAGATGCTTGCAGCTGAGCAGTTTTTAATCAGCCTGTTTCCTGCTTGGAGGACTGTGGGGGTCTGACAGTCGTCTTTCATTTCATACTCCGTCTTTCCAGTCCAAGCTGGCTTGTTTCTGCTGATGTGACATTCTCAGGAACCTCGCGGGCTTCCATTTGTCACAGGAACTCACTGCATTAGGCACGCAGCGCATTTATAGGCCTTTCCTCCATAACCCACCTCTAGTTCTGACTTCTGCTGAGATGGCCGAGGGGTAATGCCCTAGTTTCCTAAGGCTGCTGGTTAGATTGCGGATCTGTGAGCCACTTGCTCAACCTCTTCAAAGAGCCTTTGTCTGACAATACTCTCCAGTTCTGAACATGTCCTTGTTTTTCTCTAGGGCATGCTTTTCCTGACAGTGAGCCTGTCCATTTTAGGGTCTTTTCTCATCTGGATCGGATGAGAATTTCAGAAACAATGACATCCTGTTCCTTTGTGTGAGTAGCTCTTCCCTCAATTGATCTCTTCCCACTTGTATTTACCTCTGCAGCACGATGCAGGACACACATTAGCTAAGCTTTCTGACGTAACATAGTAAGAAGTCCCTTTCCTCCAGTGTGTGTGTGTGTGTATGTATTTTTTTGTTTGTTTATAGCTTTAATACAGAAAGAGCTCTTAAATATTCTGAACTCTATGTATGACATCTATATTAAAAAGATTCCTTTATCATTTTTCAGTTTGTCATTTTTCTTTTATTTTAAACATATATTTTATTGATTTTTTACAGAGAGGAAGAGAGAGAGAGAGAGTTAGAAACACCAATAAGAGAGAGACATCGATCAGCTGCCTCTTGCACACAAGGTGCATGCCCTTGACTGGAATCAAACCCGGGACCTTTCAGTCCAAATGCCGACGCTCTATCCACTGAGCCAAACCGGTTTCGGCTTCCCTATTTTTAAATATAAAGTTTTTAAACTACCTAGAATGAGGGAGGGATCAATTTTTTAAAAAACCAACTGTTTTTCCTCAGTGCCGCATCTACTGGGCGGAGGAAGACCATTCTCAGCAGTCAGACTGTGGCAGCCCAGACAACGTGGACCTCACTCTGAAGGGACGCACAGCCCAGAGGCACCCTGCGGAGGGACCTGCGCCACATCAATGTGGGAGGAAGAAGAGGCTTTGGGTCGTCAAATGGTGGGGAAATAGGAGGGAAGTGGCCACAGTTCGCACTGTGTAAGTCACGTACAAAGAACATGATCAAGGGTGTGACACGGGCTTCCGTTCCAAGATGAGGTCTGTGTACGCTCACTTCCCACCAGCGTCCCTATTCAGGAGAATGGTCCCCCTGTTGAAATTAGAATTTCTTGGGCAAAAATACATCTGCAGAGTTCGGATGAGGTCAGGCATTGCTTGTTCAGCAGCTCAAGCCCAGAAAGAGTTGATTTCCAGTTGCCCTCGAATATTCCCTGATGGCAGTGGGATTCCAGAAGGAGGCCTTCCTGTCAACGCAATCCCACCTCGTGAAGAAGGGCGAGCTCTGCTGAAGGTGTGATTACTGGCCATTGTTTGTTCACTTTAACCGTGGCCGGCACGGAGGAGGGTCGCCAGGCTCCGGGAAGTCACCCCTGAGGGAGAGTCAGCCCGCAGATGTGACCACCACCTGGCGCAGCTTCCCAGGCCCCTTTCCTCCAGTTTTAGTAACAGGTTTCCATTTCCTTCGGAGTTCTCACCAGCAGCGCCTTTAGTGTCCATATTCCTACTAACCATCTCCGATGGTGATCTAACTATTCTCTAAGGCAATTTAGTTTTTGCCTTGAATGTTCCTCACTTCTTTCTGAGCCTCCAGTTGTGGAGTTTCTAATGTCCACATTTTTACTGAATGCCTGTTCACAACCATCTAGGTTTTTTATTGCTATAATACTTCTCGAAATTCTACCAGGTTCTATCCTTTGCCCAATTCCAAACCCACTTGCACATTTTTAGGTAACTGTTACAGCAGGGTTCCACTTCTGGTACCAAATTCATATTAGTTTCCTATTGCTGCTGTCACAAATCATCACAAATTTATTAGCTTACTAAATAATACACACGTACGATTTCATAGTTCTGTAGATCTGAAGTACAGCACAGGTCCTTCCAGTCCAAAATCAAGGAGCTGGCAGGCCACGTGACCTACTGGACTGGAGGCTCTAGGAGAGAATCTGTTTGCTGCTCATATGGGCTGTCAGAATCCAGTTCTTTGAAGCTGGAGGGCCAAGGTCCCTGTTTTCTTGGTGGCTGGAAGCGGAAGGTCGTTCCCTGCTTCTAGATGCTGTTGCATTCCTTACTCAGGCCTTCTTTCTCTACCTTCGAAGCAGCAATGAGAGGCTGAGTCCTTCTCATTCTCCCTGCCTCTGTCCATCACTGCATCTCCATCTGACCAGAGAGACACGCTCTCTGCTTTTAAGGGGTCATGGGATTAGACTGTTTACCTGGAGAATCCAGAATAGCCTCCCCATCTCAAAGTCCACAACCTTCATCACACCTGCAAAGTCTCTTTCGCCATGTAAGGTGGCATATTTCCTGTTCACGGGTTCTGGAGACTGGGGCATGGACATTTTGGGGGCTTTTATGCTGTCCACCAAATCTGAGGTCAAGAGCAGCCAGGAAGCCATCTGCCTAGATTTCAAATTCCCTCTCTGCACTTACTACCTGGGGGCCATGGGTAAGTCGCCTGGGGCTCTGTGTCTCAGCTGTGTCATGTGTAAAACGAGCAAATAGTATTGACTTGTGACATAGACTTGGAGACCTTTAACTAAAGTAACAAACCTGTTCCTTCCCCTTCAAACTTAACTTGGACATAAAGTAAGGTGACCAGACGTCCCACTTTTTAACAATGTATCCCGAGGCGTTTTAAAAAAAGTCCCAATTTTTGGAAAGAAAAATATTTCCAAAAATCGGGATTTTTTTAAAACGCCACAGGACGTGGGACAAATTGTTAAAAAGCGGGACTGTCCCGCCAAAAGAGTGACGTCTGGTCACCTTAACATAAAGCCACCCCGCTAAAGACTACACACGGTGCCTGCCTGGGAGCAGGCCATGGCCAGTGACTCATACACATTCTGGGTCACTTACAAGCCCAGAAAAGCTGCCTGCCTGGCAACTTGTCTCTCTCATCACCCAGGCTGGAGTGTAAATGTGGCTGCAACCAAGTCCCAACCGTAGGCAATGGCGAAGCATGAGATAAAGGAACCAGTGTCTCCGAATGACTTCATGGGACAGCTCTGCCCCGCCCCCGGCAAGGCTGAACTACTGTATGAGAGAACAGGTATTGTTTGTTAAGTCAATGTACTTAATCAATTAATATCTGTAAAGCGTTCAGCCACCTAAGGAGTGCTCCACAGTAATGACTCTTACCACTGACTGCATTAGCATGGATTCTATTCAATGTCAAAGGCCACCAGTGACAGATGAAAGCACAGTCCTGACTGGGCTTTGGTGGACAGAGCATCAGCCCACTGAAGGGTCCTGGGTTCAGTTTTGCTCAAGGGCATGCACCTTGGTTGCACACTTAACCCCGGCCCTGGTCAGGGCATGTGCAGGAAGCAACCAATTGATGTGTTTCTCTCACATCGATGTTTCTCTCTGTCTCTACCCCTTCCTTCCACTCTAAAAATCAATGGAACATTATCCTCATTTGAGAAGTAACAAAACAACATTAGCACCATCTAATTGCTTATTTATTTAGATAATAAGGAAGCAACATACACTGAATTCATATATGCCAGGCATGTATGTACTATGTTACGTTGGACCCTGGGAACAGCTCTGAGGTTGCAGAGAGGAGGAACGGAGGTTCAGAAGTTAGGTCATTTTCTGGAGGTCACTCTAGACTGGGGAGTGTGAAAACTTGTTCCCTCCACAATGCACTCCCCTCTCTGCCAGAGGAGGGTAACGTGTAAGTGTTGTGAATCAGCCAATAAACCCCCTGGATTATGCTACTCACATTGATGTCCGGTACTTGATGTCATCCTTCTCAGCCAGCTCTTCACAGGTGAGGCCATTGTGCTCCTTCCAGAGCCCCTGACACTTCCTGCAGGTCTCCTGGGGAAAGAGCAGACACACAGACACTCCTGGTGAGTAACCCCATGCAAGTTCTGCTCAACAACGGGGAGCGGGCACTAAGCTTCCCGTGGCCTGGTCTTCCAGAGGCTCCCTCCCTCTGAGCAGGCACCTTTCTGCAGACACCTCCATGGAAGAGGGAGAAAGCATGAGACATTTTTCTCTCCTTAGATCACAAGGATGCATTGCTTCCAGCACCACTTTGTATAAGGCTTTCTACAATGCCAGGGGCCACCTGCAAAACTCCCACAAAAGGCAGATTTAGATTTCGGGTTTTTAAAAATAAAATACTGTGAGCTGCTTGAGGGAAGGGTCTGTGAGGTCTTATTAATTTCTGCAACCCCTACCCCCAGTGTCCCAGTGTTGTCTGGCACAGAGCGCTCTTGTTGAACTGAGTTGAAGAATGGTTTAACCGTGTTTCCCAAACTTTTGACTTATGGGTACCCCTTCTATAATTTTTGTAACACTGAGTAACCCTCGTACACATGAGAACATAGAATTAGGTGCAGCTAAGCACTGTGCAGTGCATATCCCCCCCCAAACTCTTCCCGTACCCCTGGGGTTCCCCCCACTTTGGGAAACACTGGAAAGGATTACTAGGGGTTCTTATGGGAGGCATTCCTCCCTCACAAACATGGAACATTCTCCATAACTTAACTTCATTTATAAAAAACATGAATTTAAAGATTACTATTTTTTATTCTAGGATCCTTTGTAATTTATAAACTGTCTCATTAATAATGAGAATTTTTTAAAAAAAATATATTTTATTGATTTTTCACAGAGAGGAAGAGAGAGGGATAGAGAGTTAGAAACATCGATGAGAGAGAATCATTGATCAGCTGCCTCTTGCACACCCCCTACTGAGGATGTGCCCGCAACCAAGGTACATGCCCTTGACCGGAATCGAACCCGGGACCTTTTAGTCCGCAGGCCGACGCTCTATCCACTGAGCCAAACCGGTGCCGGCAATAATGAGAATTTTAAAAAATAATGCAATTTAATTAAATTTCCATAAATGGAAACTACAACCCCCATAAGACAGTAAAGGAGAAGACAGTGTCAGTTTTCACTGGGGACCGACCTAGTCTGGGGACAGTGAGGCTTGAGGAGGTGGCCGAGAGCTGGAAGATGAGTCAGAGGAGAGGAAGGCAGCGTTCTGGCAGAGGAGCAGCCGAGAAGTCGGCGGGAAGCTGGCCTGCAGACAGTGAAAATGGGCCTGCTGGGCCCACAGGGGCCTGGAAGGGGCTGATTGTCAGTTTGACTTTTATCCTAAAAGCACCACGAAGGTGCCCAAAGGTGTCACGCATGGAAGTAACATGATCAGTTTTGTGATTTTACAAGATCATTCTTCACGGAGAACAGATGAGCAGGAGGAGAGAGTGGAAGCCTAAAGATAGTTAGGAAGCTACTACAGTCACCAGGAGAGAGATCAAGGAGGCCCACCCAGACCTAGGAAGCAGGTGAGGGCGTGAAGGAAAGCTGACAGACTAGAGAGACATTTAGGAAGCAACGACCGGTGTGGTGATGGAGTGAGAAGAGGGAGGTGTCCTGGAATTCACCCTGGTTTCTGGCTTGTGTAACACAAGGTAACAGCAGCACAGATGGAGCTTGGGAACAGGGGGGAAGGCTGGCGTGGGTAGAGAGAGGGCAGGCTTTAAGATCCGGTCTGGAATTTGATCTGGGTGTGATGGCACAGGCGACCTGTGGGACACCCAGCAGAGACACATGCCAGGCACGCAGCTGGGTGTAAATGTCTAGCATCTGGGAGTGGCTGGGCTAGAGATCACCAGGAGACTCAATTATATTTTCACATCAATTCTAGGAACATCTCTCACTATATCCTCCACTCATCATCGAACATTTTCCAATATATATTGCTCAGATGACTCTAACAAGGCGCAGAATAGTATGCACAGCACAGGTGCCACCATTTCTATGTAAAGAAGGTGGTGGGGGTAGAAGATAGTGATATAAAACCGACCAGAAAGGATGCCCAAGGAATTGGTAGTATTACTGTCCTGAGTGGCTGGGAGGCAGGGCTGAAACTCACTGTAGGCCTTTTGAATCTTACACTACATACATGTACTATCTAATTAAAAGCTAAACAAGACTTAGAGAGAAATGAAATGGACTGTTTTAGGAGCTGAGACTTGAAGAGCCCTTAAGGTTGCAATGAGGTGGTGGGGTAGAGATGAGCTGATCAGAGATTCTATATTAAATGTTGTTGCTTCCCAAGTGAACGATTTTATCTGGTCCACTAACCACATCCCTGTCAGGAAACAGAGGCTCAGTCAACAGTGAATTATTACACACCGAAACGTAAAGCAGCATCAACCCCATTTCTATTTTATTTGTTAAAAAATAGGTTTTGCCGAAACAGGTTCGGCTCAGTGGATAGAGCGCGGCTTGCAGACTGAAAGGTCGCAGGTTCGATTCCGGTCAAGGGCATGTACCTTGGTTGTGGGCACATCCCCAGTGGGGGGTGTGCAAGAGGCAGCTGGTCGATGTTTCTCTCTCATCAGCTGTGGGACACGGGCTCCCGTGCTTCCTGGAGAGCTGGGAACGGCCCATTAGGACACAGGATGGACTGAGATTTCTTAATGAGGACAGGAACTTCCTCATCACCGAGCAACCTGAGACTGGACGCGTGAGGAAGCAGCTGTCCCTGCCACCTTCGACCAGCTGCGCGTCTGGCAGGCACAGAGGGAAGTGTGATTTTAGGTTCCCATTACCGACAGGCTCACCAGGAGTGCTCCGCTGAAGTAAAGGTATCTGTACTTGGTCCTCCTCCACCAGCCCCTGGGCCTTTCCTTTTCTCTAAAGGCACCAGGATGATGACACGTGGGATCTGTCAGTGACAGTGCTTGGGAGCACTGCCACCGCACACTGCTCTGGGTCCACGTCCTGTTCCGAGTGACACTGGTAATGGAGACGACTCCTGCCCGGACAGAACAGCGGCCCTCTCACCTTTCCGCTCCCCCTTCAACCAACACCCCCTTGCGCAGCGCTCGCCAGCCTTTCAGACCCCATGGACCACCGCTGGCAACCGCTATTCTAGAGTGTTCCCAGCAAAGGATCAGTGAACAGACAGAGCCCCTCCTGCTGGAGTCTACACGCTGGGAGGGTGAGGAGTGGACACTGTACAGGAGAACAAGTAGGAGTGGCGTGGGGGGAGGGCAGGCAGGGAGGCTGCCATCTACCCTGGTGTGAAGGGCCCCTCGTGCAGAGCCGGGGTTCCAGCTCAAACCTGAGGGGCACCTGAGGGCAGTGGAAGCAGAACGGGAGCAGCGTCCTCAGCAGCCTCAGGGCCAGCACGGTTGGCCTCCTGCCAGTGCCACACACCTGACACCCTCACCCATGCATGCTCTGCCTACACGCCCTTTCTCCTCTGGAAACGTGTGCTCCTCAGTTCCCATGTCAAACCCCAGCGCTCTAGGAGACTCACGTGACGCGGGCAGAAGCTGCGCTCTTCTCCGGACTCTGGGAGCACTGGCTCTCACTCTATGACAGCACTTTGAATCGTGTCTTGTAACGACCTGATTACATCACATCTCCACAGAGCCAAGCACTCCTTGTAGGCAAAGACTGTGCCCTGCAGATCGCTGGGAGGGTTCAATTTATCCATGCCAAAAGAACGTTCTCTCTGAGCGTCTATCTTGTCAATATGGAGATGCATAGTGAGTAAGCCGCAGATTCCTGATTACAAGAAGCTTATTTATAATCCGTCACACTATGATTTAGTTCCCTTTGAATTTCTAGGGCCTCAGACCAGGTCTGACACACACAAGGAGCCAAATATATGACAAATGACAGTGAGAAGGCAGTGGCGAGACAAAGCACACTCCCCCTCCACGCAGAGGCCCCCCCACTGCTCCGGGGACTTCCCTCGTAGACGGGGGAAAGAACATCAGTTCCTATCGGGTCTTCAAACTTATAATTGTGTAAAGTATAATGACAATTTGTCCTTGTTATTAATCTTCACCGGAGGATATTTTTTCCATTGATTCTTAGAGAGAGAAGTGAAGGAGAGGAGATAGAGGGGGAAGGAGAACTGATGCGAGAGAGATACAGAGATTGGTTTCCTCCCACACCTACAACCAAGGTACATGCCATTGACTGAGAATTGAAACCAAGACCCTTTGGTGCTTGGGCAGACACTCTAAGCACTTACACCTGCAGATTATGATGATTTTATGAGAAAATCGAGTTATATAGACACTTCCAGGTTATTTCATTAGGGCTTATGTTGTAAGGATACAGGTTTTATGTCTTTTTCATCCCTAACTCCTTTCCCCAATCTTTTTTTTTTTTTTTTTTTTAAATATATTTTATTGATTTTTTACAGAGAGGAAGAGAGAGGGATAGAGAGTTAGAAACATCCATGAGAGAGAATCATCGACCAGCTGCCTCTTGCACATCTCTTACTGGGGATGTGCCCGCAACCAAGGTACATGCCCTTGACCGGAATCGAACCCGGGACTCTTCAGTCTGCGAGTCGACGCTCTATCCACTGAGCCAAACCGGTTTCGGCCCTTCCCCAATCTAATGCACAAATCTGGAAAGATCAGTTAACAGCCAAATGTTTGTAGGTGGTGCATGAGAAAGTATGAAATATGTTTCTTTTTAAAAAAACATATTTTTATTGATTTCAGAGAGGAAGGGTGAGGGGGAAAGAGATAGAAACATCAAAGATGAGAGAGAATCATTGATTGGCTGCCTCGTGCATACTGGGGATTTGGCCTTGATTAGGATCGAACCATGACCTCCTAGTTCCTGGGTTGATGCTCAACCACTGAGCAACACCAGCTGGGCTCTTTTCTTTTTTTAAATAATAGTTTATTGACTTTTAGAGAGAGAGGATTGGGAAAGGGAGATAGAAACACTGATGTGAGAGCTCAACACCTATTGGCTTGCCTTCTGGGGATCAAGCCTGCAACCTAGGCACAAGCCCTTGACCAGGAATCAAACCGGCAGCCTCT